AAAGGAAGGAATATAAAGTTGATTTATTTGATCAAGGTTAAAATAGATAGGTTGTTATCTCTGATAATCCTTAATGGACTTTTGCTGATCAGGACTGAAATGATGAGGTTTTAAGGGTTTGTTTATAGATAAGAAATGGGATATAGGAAGAAGAGATAATTTGTTGTATTTTAAGAGAAGGTGGTAAGTTACTAAAATTGTTCATACTTGTGATGAAGGGGGAAATCATTTCTTTATAAAATTCTTTTCTTATTATTTTTTCTTTATTTTCTATTTTCTTTTTTTCTGCACCTATTTTTTTTCCGTTTGTAATTTTTTAAAATCATTGTAAGTGGTGGTAAGTTACTAAAATTGTTCATACTTGTGATGAAGGGGGAAATCATTTCTTTATAAAATTCTTTTCTTATTATTTTTTCTTTATTTTCTATTTTCTTTTTTTCTGCACCTATTTTTTTTCAGTTTGTAATTTTTTAAAATCATTGTAAGTGTAATTTTTAATAAAATTACTATTTTAAAAAATGTTGGGTTGCACAAGGCTGCTTGATGGGCTGCATGTGGCCCATGGGCCATATGTTGTACAGGCTTGTTCTATTTCATGCAGGAATCACTAAACCATCACAGATGGAGCCATCCATCTCAATTTGAAAATCTCTAGTCAAGGGATAGCCCACTACTGCTCTAGGCAGACTGTTTAATTGCTTAACACTCTTACTATCCTGAAATGCCTTGTAATATTCAGCCTGACTGTCCTTTCTTTTAATTTCATCCCGTAATCCTTGTCTTCCACTTGGTTTAACAGAGGATATATCTTCTCTCTCTTACACATAACAGTTTCTTAGACATCTGGAGACTACTGTCAGAGTTCCTCCTCAGTCTTCTCTTCTGGAAGGTAAACATCCCCAGCTCTTTTTACTGTTTCTCATAGGGCTTGGTTTCCAGTCCCCTTATAATTCAGATAACAGTCCACTGAACCTGCTCCAATTTCTGTATTCCCCTTTTAAAATGTAATGCGCAGAACTGGACATAGCACTCTAACCCATCCTACCCTTAACTGAAAAAAAGAAGAGCACATGAGTACATCTGAAATATATTTATAGAGTGTCAAGTGTACAGCTCAGTAGCTATTTCTGTCTTATTTCAGCTGAAGGTTTTCTTTGAGCTAAACCTCTCCCTCTTTCCAAAGATGTGGCTAACAGCTGAGTTTCTAAATAAGAATTTAAAATAGATCTTAGATTTCCTTTCCTTACTGTCTGTGGTATTGTTCCCAATCCTTCAGCAATTTCCATGGCTTTTTCAATTGGAATTTCAGAAATCATTGAGCCCAAGGAAAACACCACAATTCCATCTTCACCAGATTTATTCAATATGCTTTCAAATTCCTATCAAAATAAAATTTCACAGATAAATTATTTGAAACAGTTTGAACAAAATCTATCATCTTAATAGGTGACAAAAAAGAAAATAACAATTGGTATGCAAATAATTTAGCAAAGAATTAAATACATTAATTCAATTCAATTCTAGGAATTAAAAAAAATTAAAAATACTCATTTGGGACATAAATCACAACACACTAATATGCAAAGCTATAATTCCAGGAACTAAATTATGTTTCAATCCAGTCAATGTCAAGTGTAAACAGTCATCTTTAACTCATTAAAATATATTATTCATTTTCTACAGCAACTACAGAATTTAATATTGTAAAAATCCAATATTTAAAATGCTATGGATTTTAGTAATCCACGTTGCAAGCATCATAGGGCTTAATTATGTGCTATGTATTTCCTGATATAATTTTTGTTTCAACTTCACAATTATTGGAAAGAGCCTTTTTCAGGATTCCTAAGCAGGTAATCATTAGTAATTTAGTCTTTAATTCCCCAAAAAGATAAAAACAAAAAATCCTGACTTCCGCTGTAAAATGAGATCATGATCTTGAGATGAAGGTAGCCTTATCTACCTGTTTTCTGTTCATATATTTATCTTTTTCTGCTTCTGAACAAAGCTGCATAAATTACAAAATATGATTTTTAAAGGTATTTATGACAATAATATTGCCTTTGTTCATAAAACATGCTTAACCAAGCCAGTTTATACAGTTACAGGTAGTCCCCAGTTTAAGAACAAGTTCTGTTCCCAAGGTCTCTCCTTAAGTCGAATTTGAATGTAAGCCAGAACAGTATTATTATATAATACTGTATAAGTAGTATTGTGTAATGAACTTGAACCATTGTGTATTTAACTTGAATCATTGTGTATTTAACTCAAATTTTGCTACAATAGGCTCTGTACTATGGGCTGTCTGTAACCCAGGCATTCTTAACCCAGTGACTACCTGTATCATGCTCTTTAATATTATGGCAAATAATACTTGATAGTTTGGTATTAACTCTCTGAATTTTGTCAAATATCTCAATCCTAACTTGACATTTTGAAAAATATGTATGACTAAAAAAAAGCAAACCTGTGTTAATGGATTCTCCCTTGCACAGTTTATACCCCCAATGAAAACCATATTTGGCATGATAGGCCTTGGATATTCAAACACGAAGTCATAGCGCAGAAGCCAAATTGAGGCTTGACTATAAAGCTCCAGTACTGTCATATCTCGATGCAGAAATTCCTTGATCAAAGTTTCAAATGGTGAGTAAATAAAGTAACACATCATGAACTGAAATGAACCAACTAAAAAATTCTTCACTCGTTGATTAAATGTCATATAATCAGTACTGCCCGTATAGAATTTGGGGATATAAGAATGTGGATTTGGACACTTAGTTGCCTCAAAATCTAAACCACATGGAATTCCACGTAAGTAGAAGAGAGAAGGGATGGATAAATACTCAGCCACAATCTGTCCACATGGAGACACTGGATCCATAAATACAACATTGAATCTGCTTTCTTGAAGGTAAGTAATCAAATCTTTGTTGTATAAAAGCTGTTTGCAGTTATTTAAGTAAAGCATTGTAATATTCCTTATTCTTGCAAATGTCTCAGTAATTCTTGTCAGGAAAGGCTGTTGTACAAAAATCTTATGACCCAATTTCTGAAGTTCTGTTTTCAAGTATTCCGTTGAATAGGGTACAGCAAATGTTTTCACTATGTAATGTTCAGATGGTTTCATCCACAAATTAACATCAGGAACAACAGCTACTACTTGATGTCCTCTGTGTTGAAGGCGTTCCATAACTGGTTGAATACTGAGCCAGTGACTGCCATCCATAGGTATTACCAACACCTTCCCTCCATCCGAAAGTCTCCAGAAAAAAAAAGTAAGTAAAAAACATGCAGCTGGCTGGCAAATATATTGAAACATAGAACTCTTCTTTCGAACTATGTTGCATTTTAATCCAAAGGTAAATGAATGCAAAGAACCCATTGTTCTTTACATGAACATATGAAACAGAACTTGTGAGCCTTCAGCTCTTTCTTTTCTGTAAATATTTAATTTCTTCTGTGCAGTCAAAGTAGTACAATTGAGTTTTAAAACTTGGTCAAAGGTTGATTCAGTAAACAAACCTTAAGAGATTCACAGAATAATTGGCTTGCTGCAAATTCAGCAATGCATTTTGAAATAGAAAAGAGTGTCTTTTGTGATGCAAGGGAAAAAAATAACATTGTAACATTTTCATAATTTTTTACAATTATGAGATAAAATGATTAACTATAAGGTTAAAGTTGGGCCAGAGAGGTTTGATGAATAAATAATTATTTGTCAAAATCCTTGACCAGATCAAGCCACCATATCATTTTATTAAGAATTCATTAAAAAGAGCAGGTGGCAGCTGTGGCCAGAAGGGCCTTTGCACAGATTTATCTTGTGTACCAGCTGTGCCCCTTCCTCAGTCGGAGGCTCTTCAGATCATCACTCATGCTCTGGTTATCTCACAATGGGACTACTGCAATGTGCTTTACATGGGGCTGCCCTTGAAGACCATCCAGAAGCTGCAGCTGGTACAAAATGCAGCAGCATGAGCAATAACGAGCATTTCATGGTATGTTCATGTGTCACTGCAGCTACATGAGCTGCATTGGTTCCCAGTAGGCTTCCAAGTACAATTCAAGGTGCTGATCGTCACCTTTAAGCCCTTCATGGCATAGGGCCTGGTTATCTGAGAGACTGCTTATCTCCAATTGTTTCTGCCCACTCAGTATGTTTGTACAGACTGGATACGCTCTAGGTCCCCTCTGTTGAATATTGTCATCTAGCGGGACCAAAGAAGTGTGCCTTCGGTGTTGCTGCCCCTGGCCCCCAGAGATACAAATGGCACTCCTCTCCTGGGGTTCCAAAAAGCCGTTAAAAGTTAGCTCTGTTCCCAGGCTTGAAGTTAATGGGTTTACTGAGGTATTTGTGCAGCCTCTTTCGTATCTGTATAGTTTATTGTTTTGTTTGTTTTAGTCTGGGCCTGTGAATATGTTTACCATATATACTCACGGATAAGCCCATCTGTGGATAATCTGACCCGCAAATTTTTAACCAAAATACTATGAAAAATGCATCACTCTCAGATAAGCTGACTCTCAAAATGTTCATGTTTTAATTTTCACAATTGGCTTATCTGTGGGTGACAAATTTTTCATGGCATTTTGGTTAAAAATTTGAGGGTCAGCTTATCTGCAGATGGGCTTATCTGTGAATATACACGTACTTTTAAAAAGTATTACTGGTATTTGTGTCTAATCGTTTTTTAAATCTAGATTTAAATCGGTTCTAGATTTTGTAAGCCGCCTCGAGTCTATTAGAGTGGGCAGCTATAACAAATTTAATAAATTAAATTACACTATAGGATATATGTTGATATGCAAAAATATATTTTTGTTTAAGTGTTTAAGACAATTTTGTCAAATTGTTTAAGACAATGCTTCTTGATGCAGAACTATTTTCAAACAAGATGAATCCAGCAAGATCCTTCTTTTGATTTTTTTTATAATCTTAATTTTTTTTAGAAAGTATGAAACAGCCCTGAATGTCAAGACCCCTTATATCAAACACAAAGAAGGGATTGATTCAAACTGAAGTTTAACTTTCTCACAAATGGTTTTCTAAATCAAAACTTCAGTCTAACAAGTAGCAATTAAAATAATGTCTCTGAGCATAACGAGAATATTTTATATAACACTTAAAATCACCATTACTGCCCTCCACAGATCTCATTTTAAAATTAAACATTTTGCCCAGTTGACCATGGTGATTTTCTTTTCATCCTGGGAAATTTCTTTGCTTCATAGTTGCAGCTGCTGTGCAGATTTCAGCATAGGCTGACCCACATCATATTATTCTGACAGAGCAAATTATTTTTTAAAATTTCTGCTGCTATATATCAAACACAGTCCCTCTCCCTGCTTATTAGTTGCTTTCTAAGAGATCCTACTTTAGGGGCTTCTACTCCAGACTGCCAAGTTTATAAATCATAAACATTTACAGTTTAAGCCTAAATTTATACTGGCTTAAGAAAAATGCATCCAAGCTGAGTCACTTGGACAATAGCTTGTAAGGTCTTCAGTCTGAAGATTAGCATGTCTTCCCATTGGACAAGTCCTCTGCTGCTATGCCCTCCCACTTTTCTATTCCAGGAAAACTAATTGTTTTCCTTCCTGTGGGCAAGCCTTGCTGGACATACCTCTGTGTGTGTGTGTGTTTGTGCATGTACACTTTTGATGCTTCTTTTAGTTCTAATTTAAATTTTCTACATTATGATTCTTTCTTTTTCCACTAGGAATCATAAGTTCTGATCTTAGCACAGATACATTGTATGCATTGCAAATAAATCAACTGAACCTCTATTTATTTTCAAAGGAGATATTACATTTTTATTTTGTTTTCCATGAAGTGTGCATTTGCCAGCAGGGTAGTATACCATTTCCCTTAATCAGCATATTTTTGTTCAACTCAGTAACATTACTTATCCCATTCAAGCCTTTAGATGGATGCAGACAGAAAACAAGACAGTTACAGCTTTTTAGCTGACAGCATGTTTGGCTCTGAGGTTGGGCTCTAGCTCATTGCTGTCTGAATCACCAAGACAGAGAAATTACTCAGAGGTGGTTGACAGTCTGTTGCCTCCTGAACTTCAGACTGAGAACCCACTAGATTCAGCCTCAGAATGAGATGTTCATAACCTTAGTATACATACTGTACATGATCAGAAATTAAACATGAACCAATCTTGCATTCCTCAACCAAATTAGCCATTGGATATGATATTAAAAAATAAGGCAATCTTGAACATGTGCTATAAAAAGTATACTCTTGCCTGCTGGAATTAAGAAGTTAAATTCCTCAATGTATGTACTGTATGGAGAGAGCCAGTCTGGTGTAGTGGTTAAGACATCAAGCTACAAACGGGGAGACCATGAGTTCTAGTCCTGCCTTAGGCACGAAGGCACCTGGGTGAGCTTAGGCCAGTCACTCTCTCACAGCTCTAGGGAGCAGGCAATGGCAAACCACTGCTGAAAAACCTTGCCAAGAAAACTACAGGGACTTCTCCAGGCACTCACCAGGAATCAAGACTAACTCGAAGGCACCAAAAAAAAAAAATTACTATATGTAGAATATGGCAACTCTGGGGGATCTCTCTCTCTCTTTCTTTTCTGCAAATCATATAATGTATCCAAAACTAAGTTAAAGTCTCCAGCAATTATTATCTGATCTACCTATTTCCCAAAGATATTACTAAAACAATGTGTAAATTATTAGGTTTATCTTTAGTTGATCTATAAAAATGTATCTACTCCATCTGATCAACTCCATTTGACTACTAAAATTACATAGTGACCTTCAAACTCTAAAATCTCTTGTTCAGCTGTAAAATTAGGTATTTTCATTAAAATTGCTACTCCTCTGGCAGATTTTGAATTTCCACTTATATAAATCTATTCAATTCATTTCCTTGCTAAAAGATTTTTCTCATTTGTTAAAATACATGATTCTTGTTTATATGAATTACATCAACCTCAGTTTACAAAACCTCCACCTCCTTTTAGCTATCCTGCTCAATCCTTTAACACTCTATGACATAAATGAGGTTATCAATAAAATAAACAAACCCACAAATTAGAAGTGTCAACTATCCTAGTACCCAGATCTAAATTACAAATAATCAGAAACTGTTTAAAAAATGAAATTTCTTAAACACTATACAATTCACTATTACAAAAAAAACACCCCTTTATCAAAACATAATAAAAATCAAGATTAAAAAAAATAAGGAATCAAAATACATTCAACAAATATTTTGATGGATTGATTGCGTGCCATCAAGTCATTGTTGACTCGTAGTGACCACATAGATAGATTTTCTACATGGTGATCTGCCTTAATCTGGTCCTTCAGCTCTCCAACGGTGCACTCATAGCTGCTGTAACTGAGTCTATCCACCTTGGTGCTGGTCATCCTCTTCTTCTCTTCCTTTCACTTTCCCCAACCTTAAGAGTCTTTTCCAGAGAGCTAAGTTTTCACATAATGTGTCTGAAGTAGGATAATTTGAGTCTGGTCATTTGTGCCTCAAGTGAAAACTCTGGGTTTATTTGTTCAATGATCCATTTATTTGCTTTCTGGGCTGTCCATGGTATTCTTGGGGACTCTTCTCCAACAACAAAGTTCAAAAGCATCAATACTCTTCCTATCTTGCTGCTTCAAACTTTCACTTCCAGAGAGTGTCACAGAGAATGGCTTGCACACAGAATGGCTTGCACAATTCTGATCTTTGTAGTCATATCACAACATTTGAATATCTTTTCCAAGGACTTCATGGCCGCTCTACCAAGTGCTAGTCTGTGGCATATTTCTTGACTGCTTGTTCCTTTACAGTTGATAGTTGATCCTAAAAGGCAGAAGCTATCCACCACTTTGGTATTTTCATTGTCTGTTCTAAGATTGGTTGTTCTACCTGTTGTCATTAATTTGGTCTTCTTTAATTTAGTTCCATTTTTTTCAATGTGCTCCTTGACTTTTATTATTAGAGCCTGGAGATCCTTTGCATCTTCAGCTACAGAGCAGTATCATCAGGATAGCGGTGATATTGATGTTTCTTCCTCCATTTTAAAACCACACTCATCTTCTTCCAAGCCAGCTTCCCTTAATACCTATGATAATAACCTATCAGCAGTAGGTTGAATAAATAAGGGGAGAGTATACAGCCGTGTCACACTCCTTTGCCAACCTGATCCAGTCTTTTTCACCATGTTCTGACCTGGGATTCCCATTTTTCTGAGCACTTTCCACAGCTTGATGTGATCAATATAATCAAAGGTCTTTCTATAATCAATGAAGCACATACTGACCTCTTTTTGATATTTTGATACACTTTTTGACTTTCTCAATTATCCAGTGTGCATCAGCAATAATGTGTCATGTTCCCACTTCCAGGGAAGCAATGGCAGACTGAAGATGGCTTTGTGAAGAGTGGAGCTGATG